CTCCCTCCCTCCCTCCTTCTTTCCTTCCTTCCTTCCTTCCTTCCTTCCTTCCCTCCCTCACTCTCTCCTTCCATTGTTGCTGGTCATCAGGTGAGCGATTGCTGTACAGCAAACGAGGAGGCCCCGTGTTGCACAGGCGTGTACCCCCCGGCCAACTCGACGGAGCCGGATGTCCCCTGCCCGTGCGACACGTGCTTCAGCAAGCTGCAGCCGGTCATCTACAAGGCCTTCTCAGCCACGGGTGGCGTTGGCCTCTTTTTCAGCTTCACTGAGGTCAGTTGATAAACCAAAAAAATATATACTTTTCACTTACACACTCATTGTTCGTGGGTAGTTGGCAGGTGCTCTGGTGTGGTGTGCTCCTTCTTTCCTATCGAACACCTATCGTCTTTGTCTCTCCTCTTTCTTGTTTGTATACTTTACTCTCTTGTAACATCTATTCTTCAGCAGTTATATAACCTTATTCTGTTGCAAGTGCCATAAAACTCTTATTAAAACTAAACAAAATTATGTCTCCATCATTATTACTTGGTCACTGTCAAATTTTCTAGGTTTTTATTAATCTACACATAGCTTTTAGATCCTAGTAATGTTAGCTGGTTGTGGGGGTTTGTCTATTTGAGTGGAAGTCGTTTCTGATTTTTTCTGTCTTTATTTTCTCTTAAGAATGATGAAGACACTCCAATCACTGTTCTAGATAACTACCATTGTGATTCAGGTTACACAGTGCACAAAAGCCATAACTGAAAAGAGGGAAAGTTCTATTTTTTTCATCATGTGAAAGTGCAGTTTTATATGCCAATACATTTCTGCAGTATTGCATGATTTTTGGAAGTAGCAGTCCTGTTAACTTGTAGTGTTACACAGAAGTTGTTCAGAGGAACTTGCTGCTCTTTAAAAAGAAGTGAACCATGCGGTATGATGTAATGCTGAAAACCCTATAATGATGGACTACAGTCTAAGCCTGTATAGAAAGGTCCATAGCTCCACTGTTGACAGTTTTGGGAAAAAGTAGGTTCATGGCAAATGCTTCCAAATGCTCAGAAGGGATATTCTGTAGTGATGAGTGAACTTTCGACCTTCAGCCCAGTGCAGTGACAGGTATAGGTCTTCCTCCATGGTCAACTAATTCACTTTGAGAGTTTTCTCTTTGTCTGCCTTTTAAGGGATTCTTTTGCTCAAGTTCTGTTTTTACCATACATTTAGTTCGAATTGACCTTTGCTTTAGTTGTTGTTTTTTATAAACAGCCTATAATTACTTCCAGTTTATATCATAAATATGTTCACCCCAGCTGAGCAATGTCATCTTGAACTTTCTGCGTTTTTGTCAATTTATGATTGCTACAGTTTGTCATTTGAAACAGACGATTTCGCTTGTTCTAATAACCTTGGTGATTTAGATCAGAGGTGGCAAAGTCTCTACTTACCACAGTGACGTTTCCTGGCGACTAATTCTGTTTGGGAGTTTTATTTTCATTTGCTCACACATTTGTCTGTCCATTCATTCACTGGTCTATATTTGTTTTTGCTGAGTGGAGTTTCCTCTACTCGTTCATCTACATATCGCTACCCTAGAATTACAAAGTTCCGTAAGACTTTTTTGGTGACTTTGAGTACTAAGACCATGAGGTCAGAAACAAAATGTTCTTTCTGCTCTATCACCAAAATCATAGGATTATTCGGAGTCGTTATGTAGATATTTGAAGAATTGCATTCTTAAAAGCTTGACATGTTGTGAAACTGAACATTTTTTACTTCGAATTTCTCAAGACTATGGGGTACTGAGTAGATAAAACTTTGAAATTCTAAGGTAGCGATATGCCGGGCTTGTCTCCCGTGGTCACCTTGAGTGGCTGTGTGACCCTTTCATCTAACCTCTTGTGGTCTACTTGTCCATTTGTCATGGTGTTTGTGCGTGCATGTGTTTGTTGTTTGTGTGTACATGTGTTTGTTGTTTATGTGTGTACATGTATTTGTTGTTTATGTGTGTACATGTGTTTGTTGTTATGTGTGTACATGTGTTGGTTGTTTATGTGTGTACATGTGTCGGTTGTTTGTCTGTACATGTGTTGGTTGTTTGTGTGTACATGTGTTTGTTGTTTGTCTGTGTGTGTGTATATTATGTGTTTGTTCTTTGTGCATACGTGTATTGGTTGTTTGTGCATATGTGTCTTTGTTGTTTGTGCGTACATGTGTTTTTTACTTGTGTGTTGAGAAAAGTTACATGTGGTTGCATATCTCATGTCTTCCTTATCCTTCCAGGGTTCTCTCCTTTTTTTCTGTTTGTCGGGGATCTGTGCAACAGAATGTGTTCTTGTTATGCCTTTCTCCTCAGTTTATGTAGATACATCCAGTGGTGTATTTTGTCTTTTTTTGTGCCCATGTCTGTGTGTCTGTTCATTTATTTATTGTTTTTATTTCATTTTATTTTTTTATTTTTTTTTTCAGTTCAGAGTTTTCCTCACCTACTCATCCTTTTACCTACACAACTGATTTTTTGTTTGTTTGGTTTTTGTTTTGTTTTTTGCTTGTTTACTACAAAATATGACATAATATACCATCCCCTTTACTGTTTAAACTCAGCGCCCACATGATTTTTCTCTCTCCACCTTGTGGGTGGCTAGTGGGTGCTCTGGTGTGGTTTGCTCCTTCTTTCCTGTCAAACGTTTATCGTCCTTATCCCTCCTCCTTTTTTGTGTTTGTTACTCTCTTGTAACTCGTGGGTGGTTGACGGGTGCTCTGGTGTGATTTGCTCCTTCTTTCCTATCAAACGTCTATCGTCCTTATCTCCCCTTCTTCTTTTTTATGTTTGTTACTCTCTTGTAACACCTCTAATCTTCTGGCGCTCATGTGACCTTATGCAGTTGCGAGCACCGTAAAATCTCTACTAAAACTAAAACTCTTGTAACACCTCTAATCTTCAGCACTTATAGGACCCTATTGTGTTGCAAGTGCTGTAAAACTTTTACTTAAACTAAAAACTCTAACAAAAACTTTAAACTAAAAACTAAACCAATCTCTCCACCTTCTCCCAAGGAGCAGAACAATTAATACTGGCACCTGTGAGGGTTGTTGACTTACTAGTCTAGTTGACTGTCCTTGTATGAGATTTGAGACGGACCAATTTACCAATCTGTTGTCTGTGTGGGTGGTTGACAGGTGCTGTGGTGTGGTTTGCTCCTTCTTTCCTATTTTAAACATCTATTGTCCTTTATCTCTCCTACTTCTTTTCTTCGTATGTTACTCTCTTGTAAAACTTCAAATCTTCAGCTCTCGTATGACCTAATTATGTCGCAAGTGCCGTAAAACTTTGACTGAAACGAAACTAACCAGTTGTCTGTGTTTGTGCTTCCCACTGACACTTGCAGATCATTGGTGTCTGGATCACCATTCGCTTCCGGAACCAGAAAGACCCGCGGGCTAACCCTAGCGCTTACCTATAAGGCTATCCTTCATGTAGCATGTTAAGTCTGTACCAACAGTGTGAGGTATTGCTTTCCTACTTAACCCTGCTCTCTGCCTCCTCCTCCTCCTCCTCCTCCTCCTCCTTTAGGGAAATTTCGTTGAAATGGACAGAACATTTAATGAATACTACATCATGCTGTCTGTATAATATGCAGGACCAGCTCAATAGGAGTATCCCTTTCTCCTTGTTTGAGCGACCCGTGATTTCCCATCCTCCATCTTTGTCTGGCACCTTTGTTCGTGTTACGAAAGAGAGGACAGACAAATCTTGTTCCTCACTCTCTACAACTGGTCTGAGGCTAATGAGTGCAGCTTTTTGTTTTGTTTTTTTTTGTTTTGTTTTGTTTTGTTTAGTTTTGTTTTGTTTTGTTTCGGGGTTTCCGTTCTGTGTGTGTGTGGGGGTGTG